CCAAGGAATAACAGGCACTATATCAGACAGAAGAGAAAGGCCGCTAGGTAATTAGAGCAATGTTAGTTGCTATAACAAACAAATCCCAACATTTCTATGGCTTAACACATTAAATGTTATTTTTTGCTCACATAATCTCATAATCTGAGAACATTCACTCACTGGTGTTCTTCTTTTTTCTTTTTTTGGTGAGGAAGATCAGCCCTGAGCTAACATCTTATGCCAATCCTCCTCTTTTTTTTTTCTGAGGAAAAAAAAGGCCCTGAGCTAACATCCATGCCCATCTTCCTCTACTTTACATAGGATGCCGCCACAGCCTAGCTCGACAAGCGGTGCGTCTGTGAGCGCCTGGGATCCGAACTGGCAAACCCTGGGCCACCGTAGCGGAGCACGCGCACTTAACCGCTTTCGCCACCGGGCCGGCCCCCGCTCACTGGTGTTCTTGATCACGCCGTTCTCCTTGAAGTAGTGATTCAAGAATACAGTTTTCTTCTGCGTCCCTGCCATGTTCAACAAGTGGCTTCCAAAATAGCAGTGCTCATGCCCAGAAGCCAGCAGAAGGGACACAGGAAGGTTAAGAAGGTTTACCCGCTTCTTAACCAACTCTGGTCACAGTACAGAACTAGCCAGGTGGCCCCATCTAGATGTAAGGAAGGCAGTGCCTGCCTGAGCGGCCAGTTCGCAGCAACAACCCCACACTACGGGAGAGAAGCCTAGGTCTTCAGTGAGCAGAGGCCATCTCTGCCGCAGGTGCTGAGAGGCAAGGGCAGCAGACACCACCTCAAGCAGCCCTGCAGCAGTCCTGCTCAGGGGCAAAGTGATAAACGTGCACCTACTCTAGTCCATGCTTCTCTAGGCTGGTCCCTCTTTGTCACAGTGGGGCTCTGTTCATGGTTCTCAACCCTGGATGCACATTAGCGTCACCCAGTAAACTTTTAAAAAATATACCCATGCTGGACCACTGGAATCAGCGTCTTCTGTGGGTGAAGCCTGGGCATCATTATTTGTGGGAAGTTCCTCGAAGGTGACCCAAATGTGCAGCCAGGATTGAGAACCATTTGGTTTAAATAAAGGGAAGACATTTAATAGTTTTAAGCAATCAAGAGAGGAACCGTCTTTTAAAATTCTAGTCTTAAAAATTCGAGAGAAGAGCTCCAAGGAGCCCATCTCGGGACAAGCGGCCATCACTAGACGACGGAGCATCGCTGGAGGGATGAGTCCATGAAGAACACGTCAAGCCCAACTACCAACGTTCACCACAGCGTTCAGAACACGCTGGACGTGGCGTTGGATCGTCAGAGGCGTGGAGCAGAACCTGGACAGGCAGATGGGAGGGCAGACAGCACTGTGACTTGTACTCTTCCAAGGAGTTTGTCCTGGAAGGAAATATGCAACATAGAGAGCATTCCTAGGAGATCTAAGTTGATGCATCAAGGAAAAGGAGACACAGCTGACGGAGAAAGGCCTGGAGAAGGAGTGTCACTATGGGAGAGAAGGTTGAGAAGGCCCAGAGTGAGAAAATTAATCAGAGTACACACTAGTGTGCATAGGCCAAAACTTGCCCCAAAATATCCCAGTTTGTCTGAAAAATCTCCCTTTCAAACCGAAAAAAAAAATCTCAATTTGCTTACAAAGACCCTGTAAAGAATCTTACTCCTTAACAATTTGGTGTCTAAGTTTAAAAAAATAGAAATCAAAGCCACACACCCTTCCCATCTGCTCTTTGCAGGGAGGGGTACCTTCACTTGTGGCTTATCTCAGGCGTTCTTACAGAAAGGCTTAACCAAATAAAAATCAGCTTTTTGGAAAAAATTGCTTGGTAAACAATTACATACTTGGGTGCTGGGGAGGAAATGAAAGGATACCTTGAAAACATATATAGACACAAGTAAATCAAAACGTCAGTGGAATAGCTTTATTAAATCAAGAAATTACAGCTTTTTCCTAAATGAGGAAGCTCCCCCCCATCCTGACTTATAAGATACAAATAAAAAGCATTCTTTCAGAACATTGCTCACTGTTGTGGAAAGAACACCAAGCAGGCAGAGGATCGGAGAACAGGCCATCTGAGCCTGGGCCAGCACTGTATGAGTCTGTCCCTGAGCCTGGGTTTGCTCTGCCTGCCTTGCAGGGGGGCTGAGTCAGACAAGGTAAAAACTGAGAAGACACGTTCAACAATGGGTATTATGGGTGCACTTAATAGTGCTTACTACATACCAGACACTGTCCTAAGCACCTCACATATATTAAGGCATCTACAAACACATTGTTTTTTTTTTTTTTAAACATTTCTCCTAATATTTTATTTTTTTATAATTTTATTTATTTATTTATTTTTCCCCAAAGCCCCAGCAGATAGCTGTATGTCGTAGTTGCACATCCTTCTAGCTGCTGTATGTGGGACGCGGCCTCAGCATGGCTGGAGAAGCGGTGCGTGGGTGTGCACCCAGGATCCGAACCCGGGCCGCCAGCAGCGGAGCGCGCGCACCTAACCGCCAAGCCACGGGGCCGGCCCTATTAAGGCATCTAAAACTCACAGCAACCTATTACCACCAGCTGGGGAAACTGAGGCACAGAAACGTCAAATAAATCAAAGTCCCAAAGCAGTATCGAGACTGGCTGTTCACAAAGCCTGTTTCTCCTTCTGCCTGGGCATGGGAGTATAACTAACCTACATTTCCCAGCCTTCCTCGCAATTCAGTGCACTGTTGTTGTCAATGAAATGTGAGCAGAAGCACATGCGCCATCTCTAGGCCTGGCCCACAGAACTGCACACTCGAGATCCTCATGCCCCTTCACGCTCCACTCGCTTAATGAAGATGATGAGAGCCACGTGGATGGCACATCCAGCATGTGGCAAACCAGTAAAACCCAAACGCAGGTGGACCTCCCTTCACTTTCCTAGAACACCATACAGCAGTCTGGGGAAAGCTGCACTAGGTAAGCTCACACTTTCCAATACCAGAGTGAAAAATATCGCCAGTCCACAACTTCATGTAAAATACATCTTGTGATAAGAGTGTGATTACTTCTTTTATCTCAAAGAGTTAAGGCAATATTCTGTTTGGTTAATGTTCTCAGATGTTATCATGTTATAATTTAGTGTATAAAATACTATGCTATTATAGTATCAGATGATGTTACTACAGCTATGACTGGAGATTGAGTTCATAAGCTTTCTGGGTTTTAAGAGTAAAATTTCAACTGCCTATCATTGATTATTCCTTTCTCATGGTAAAAATGATGAAGCATTGTAGGATTATTGGTTTTGACACACATGCACAATACAGACCTCCTTTGATAGTTGACAGATTCTTTTATTAATAATCAAAAAGCTTCACACTTACAATAGGAAAATAAATGTTTCTTTAATGAATAATTAAATGAAAACTATCCAGGACCTATTATAGGATTTTTAATATGTACTATGCGTATCTTGGAAGACAGGACCTTAGCTTGCTGGGATCATAGGGTACGACTGAAAATCAGAGACAGTAATTTATAAAAGTTACATAATAGCTTTCCCAAACAGTAATTTCTCCTGAAATTAAAACAGGAAGTAAAATTTGTATTTATATCTAGTTTTAGATATGACTCACAACACACATCAATCTTAATTTTGTGATTTTGATGTTACTTCTCTAAAGGAACTCAACAGAAATTCAAATCTCATTTTAAGATCATGAATTTGAGGTGCGCAATAAAGTTGTAATTTCTCAACATCAAAGTTTAATTATTACACAGCAATTGAAGCAACAGATACCATTTCCCAGACAGCATTTGTTTGGGGTCCTGTCTCCTGCAGCACTAACCACAGTAAGGTTTTTGAAGCACATCTATGACGAGAGCAGGCACTGCGGATTCGGTCACAAAAACCCTTCTCAGATGAATAATACTCATTCTTTTCGGAAGAAATGGCTATTTTACCTTTTCTGTTTCTTTTCTATTATGAAAAACAGGGCTAACAGAATCTTAAATTCTCACTATCCACTGAACGATTAAAATCTTTACTCTGTAAATTATCTTAGTGTCTTAAAATCTATCCAACAGGGAGGAAAAACCAAAACCTTAGTGAAGGACACTGCTTTCCCTCATTCCCTCAACATAAAGTCAAAGCAAAAATAGGGCCCCATAGAAATTTCAACCTTAAATTTTTTTGGAATCTTAAAGCTTAGTAAGAGCCAAAAAGCTTTATATAACTCAGTAGTCCCTGTATATCTTTGTCAGTTCAGTACACACCAGGATCCAGTAGACTACTCGTATTCAAAAGCCCATCTCTCAAAAAGTTCCTATTGTCTAGATGGTCTATGTAAACAGAGGTCACTGCCTTATTTATGTAGGTAAGCCGTAACCACATTACTCCTTGTAAGTCACCTTACTGTGGGACATCACAGATGGCAATCAGAGTCTCCGAAGTGTTTTCAATCCACAAGCATAAACACACATGCAGAGTTATCACTAGTCTCATCAACACTGTCTGACAACTCAGAAAACCTAAATCCTTTCCTAATTGAATTCTAAAAGTGCCTTGAATTTAATTTTTTTTAAAAACTTCAGTCTTCAATATTGAAACTGCTAAATTACTCCATTTTTCCAGGAAAAAAATAGAAAAATAAAGTTGGGGGAAAAAATAGAAAAATAAACTTGGGAAAACATCCTGTTACTAAATAAGTTTAAGAAAAAAACCTATATGGAGAAAATATTCCAATAGAAGGGAAAACCTATGTGGGCTGCAGACCACAGCATTATTTGTAGTAAATAACAATTAGAAACAAATGAGATATTCAGTAATACAATAGTAAATTAGGAAATGTCTAACTGATAAAATAGTATACAGCCATTAAAGACAATGAGGAAGATGATGCAACCTGGGAAATGCATGACAACGTTAAGCCAAACACAGAAAGGATCCCTCCACCTGTAAACAGCTCCATCTGCAAAAATGAAACAGGAACATAACGTGACGTGCTGAGTCACTGTATTGTGGGTCTGGTTTCCCCTTTATTGAAAAAACTAAATATAAAGCTCCTACAGTCACTGTACATTTTTTAAAAGAAAAGAAAAACATCAAATAGGACAGAATAACTCAAAAACAAGTCTTTGGAAATAAATGAGGCAGGCATTCTTCCTTCCGTCCTGAGGCAGGCACGCTGCTGACCTCCTCCAGAAACGACTTTGTCTCTTCCGGTGAAGGCAGCACCTGACCTAGTGCCCAACCAGAACGATCCGTGACCTCCTCCCTATCATTGATTTTATCAGCTTGGCCCTAACTTGTCCATGCTGAGAACCTGTACAATACATATTTCTTTGAGGACAAAATTTCACATAAAGTCTTTGTATTTCTCCCTACAGGAAAATTCAGATGCACAACTATTTCCTTCTCATAATAAAGCATTCTCAGTTAGCAATCAAGTTACACATTTTAAAAAGACAAAATGTGACCACAAACAATTAAAGACCACTGGATGATACCTGCCAGAAGTACTACTAGATAGAGGAATACCTACAAAAAGAGCAATTTTCAATAGAAAACTGACTATTTCCCCTGAGAAATAAATTTAATATTTTGTTGTTAAACAACTGGGGCAAAAGACTAGATTTTCTATAACTGCAATAGAACAGAATTAGAAATGCTTCCCTAGAGGCCCTCGCAGTATAGGGATGGGACACTTTTGATGGTTTTATGATGACAATTAAAACCTCTTAGCTATTTTAGCTCTCTAAAGAAAATGTTCAACGAAAAGACCGAATCATACAAAGCATTTAATATTTTCAAACAGTTGCCCAATAACAAAATTTTAAAACAAGAAATTATTCATAGCATTACGTTTATCAAATATTTGAATAAGCAACAATCAGAAATGCTATCCTAGAGCAGCTTACTGGTACACTGTGGTACTTCGTACTACTACAAAAATAGTCGTAAATTGCTTAATGTGCTGAGTGTAATGATAACGTTTTACTTTTTGCAAGCCACGTATCTCTCGGTTACATTCTCCCAGTTGATTACATTCCAAATAGCTTTCAGATAATCAGGTCTGACGTTTTTATACTGAAGGTAATAAGCGTGCTCCCACACATCAATCCCCAGCAGAGGTACAAGACCTATCGGAAAGAAGGGAAAAAAGCAAAAACCATGAATTTCAATCTAAAACACTGCATCTTCTCAATTTTTTTTTAATTTTTTTTATTTATTTATTTTTTCCCCCAAAGCCCCAGTAGATAGTTTTATGTCATAGTTGCACATCCTTCTAGTTGCTGTATGTGGGACGCGGCCTCAGCGTGGCCGGAGAAGTGGTGCGTCGGTGCACGCCCAGGATCCGAACCCAGGCCGCCAGCAGCAGAGCGCACGCACTTAACCGCTAAGGCACGGGGCCAGCCCTTTTTTTTTTTTTTTAATTTTTTTTATTTATCTTCTCAATTTAAACTTTATTTTATGCACACGAAATTACCCTTTACAACATTCTCATCCATTTTTCAGTTTCTTATATAAATAGGAAATTGGCACAAGAGTAAGTATTCCTATAAAAAGATTTTAAACTTCAGTCTTTGGAAGAAAATGTGATGAGTAGTAAAAATAATTAAAACAGACTTGGGAAAATCAATTAACTATAGTATTTTACTAGCTGTTCTTAAAACACCAACAGATTCATCCAAGAGCCAATTCTCAGTCCTCCTCACTGGGGGTCTCACAGGGTGTGTTACGTTGGTGGGGGTGGTCGAGGACCTTCCAGGCCCTGAGCACTCAGAGGGGTTTATGAGAAACCTGCTCTGCTCCCCAAGGCCAATGTTAGTCTTAGAGAATACAATGCACTTATGAAACACTAACAGAAAGAAAAAAAATTAACAAGGAAAACTAAATAGGACTGTAGAAAAAAATAGTTTTCAAAAATTAAACAGTGTATGTATGATCTCACTCATATGTGGAATATAAACCAACACATGGACAGAGAAAACTGGACTGTGGTTACCAGGGCAGTGGGGGTGGGGGGTGGGCACAAGGGGTGAAGGGAGTCATATATGTGGTGATGGACAAACAAAAATGTACAACCCAAAATTTCACAATGTTAGAAACCATTAAAACATCAATAAAAAAAAAAATTAAACAGTGTAAATGAAGAATTAGTTGTATCTACAAAACGTTCATTTAGAAAAACTCTCAACTAAATGATAGCTCTCCTCTAGGAAAACAAGCCTCAACCAGTATGTCTTGATCAGCTGTGAGGTATGCCACTAATAACTTATTATTAATAACTAAAGTAGTGAAATTTATAAACAATTTTTCCCACAAATAAGTTGGCACTATCTTCATTCCAATGGGCTTTCTTCAAGTGGGAGAGGAGGAGGTATAGCTAGGCCTCACCTAGAAATCACAGCCTTTCCAGGTAGGTGCCTTCACCGACACACCTGACTGTCTACAGCAGGCAGGGCTCACAAATCTTTTGTGGCTTTTACAAATTCTGTGGCATCTCACTTTCCCAAGAAAGCTGTTTAGATTCTGGCAAAATCTGAGCAGATCCAGGGAAGTGGGTCTGTAACCCAGTCTTCTGACATGTGTAGAGGCAGAAAAAGTGGCTGAGAACTACTGTTGTTTGATGTTGTCACTAGAGGTTTGTGACATTGAAGACCAGAGTTCCAGCTAACCACTGGATGACTCATGACTCTATTTCCTAAAGATCTTCTAATTCAATCCGGTTCAACATGAAAAAGGATTTGGTGGGGGCTGGCCTGGTGGTGTAGTGGTTAAGTTCACACGCTACACTTCCGTGGCCTGGGGTTCTTGGGTTCAGATCCTAGGCGTGGACCTGCACACCTCTCATCAAGCCATGCTGTGGTGGCATCCCACATACAAAATAGAGGAAGACTGGCACAGATGTTAGCTCAGCAACAATCCTCCTCAAGCAAAAAGAGGAAGATTGGTAACAGATGTTAGCTCAAGGCCAATCTTCCTCAACAAAAAAAAGAATTTGGTGAACCCAGCCTGGAGCTTCTATGCCAAGTATTTTCATATACCAAAAACCCCGGGAAAGGCAGAAGTCTGGAAACCTGAACTCTAGTTCCAATTTGACCACAAGTGCCCAGCAGAGGGGGCAAGAGACCAAGGTCTGAAGTCAGACTCAGCTTACATGTCTTTTCTTCGCTCTTACAGTTTATCTCATTTTAGTGCATATAATTATGTAAGTTGATACGAACTCTGTCAGATAAAGCAGAGTTTGTTTAAAACATTTTTTGTTAATGTATCTCTAAAATTAGGGGCCGGCCCCGTGGCTTAGCGGTTAAGTGTTTGTGCTCCGCTACTGACGGCCCAGGTTCGGATCCCAGGCGTGCACCGACGCACCACTCCTCTGGCCATGCTGAGGCCGCGTCCCACATACAGAACTAGAAGGATGTGCAACTATGACATACAGCTATCTACTGGGGCTTTCGGGGTGGGGGGGAAAGGAGGAGGACCAGCAATAGATGTTAGCTCAGCACCGGTCTTCCTCAGCAAAAAGAGGAAGATTAGCATGGATGTTAGCTCAGGGCTGAGCTTTCTCACTAAAAAAAAAAAAAAAAAAAAATTACATGTGCTTATTTTGGATAAGATTTAAGATTTCAAAATATCAAGGACTATTAAAGCATTTTTTGCTTTCACAAGACTGAGTATCATCTGTAAGATCTGCTCCAATTAGTACATGCTCAGGATAGGTTTAAACACCACTAGTTTTTCTCACTTCAAGTTAAATGCTTTCTAGTGAACCATCTCTCCCGAACGAGTGTGTAACAATTTTCCAATCTCACCTGTTGTTCCTTGCAGGGGATCCTGGTTAGGACAAGCAACAATCTGTAGGCGTCCCTGTTCCTTATTGAAACCAAGCCAGCCCCAACCTGAGCCTTGGACGCCAGCAGATACAGCGGTCAACTTCTCCTTGAACTTTTCGAAGGAACCAAAGTCACGTTTGATGGCTTCCAGCAATTCCCCTATTAAAAAAAAAAATCCAAAGAATACCCACAAGTGAACAGACTGCAACCATACAATAAAATATTTTATCACATATATTAAAATATTGTCATATGGCCCAAGATACGAGACAATGTCACATAGAAGACATAAGATAACCCAGTGTGCCTACATAACACTGTGCTACATAGTGTCATAAGGTCTCACAATTTTAATTCACATGTTTGTTACTGAAGTGTGTTAACAGGGTTTTCTTCCCTCACTGGGCTATTTCTATCAGGAAAGAAATAATATTTTCCATTAGCTTTCTTTTTCCCTCAATCGAAAATTTACTTTGACTTCTGCCTTATCTACTCTGTCTCAATTTGGGAGTAAAATGTTATGGCTGTTATTTGGTTTTTCTCTAAGGCAGCCTAAATCTTTCCTACCTCAATTATATCATTTTTAAAAGAGTGATTTCTATTACTGAACTAAGGGTACACTTTAAGAGATAAGCCCTTTTATTCTGTAGCAATATAGAATATCATTCTAGATTAGCACATCAACTAAACCAACTAGGCCAAAAATACTACTTCTCTGATTCTAACTGGTTTAAAGTAATCATCCATTACAAGCAGAAATAATGGAATAAAGTGGGACAGATTAACATAAAATGGCAGAGAGTACCAAAACCTGCTGGCTGAACACGGGTATATCCTGAGATTCTGATAACTCACAAAACCTCAAAAGTATTAAGTCACGGTCTGAAGACCTAACTCAGAAAAAATAAACTGCCCAGCTTCCCATACTGACTCCCTCGTTCATCTTTACCCCCAAATGAAACTGCTCATTTCAAGTGCACAAGATGCCTTCTACAACTCGATTAAAAACCAACAAAACACAGAAACTTCATACATGCCAGAAGCCCAGAACCAGGAGAGGCGAGCTAGACTTATGCCCCCTATCTTCCCCGGGCTGAGGGGGATAATCAACGCCGCCTGGGCCTCCGCACACCACACAGCAAGTCAAGTAAGCAAGGACGGTGAACAAGACCTTCGGCTCTACACCTCCTCATCACCCGAAGTTGTCCTGGAAAACCTAATTTTCTGGACAACTGACTTTTTATCAGGAACTGTAGTAAAATAATAGCAAACGGCACTATTCCAAGCACTTTACATATAATAACTTATTTAACTCTCAAAACAGCCCTATTATTACCCCCGTATCATAGAGGTGAAGAAGGTGAGGTACAGAATGGTTAAGTATCTCCCCAGGCCCGAGAGATGGTAAGGGAAAGCTCGTCCTTTCTGAAAACTAAGTTTCCCAGGCTTTCTCTAATGTACAGTACACGTCAACCAAAAGGTGACACCATATGTGATATTACGTGCACGTGTGTATAAAATCTGATGGCATAACTCCCTGAATGTGTTCTCCATTCTTATCTATGTCCCTTTGCAAGTTACAACTTTGCTGTACTCCTTGCTATGAAAAACAGGCCATTATGAGACCTCAGGGTGAATTAAGGCAACTTAAGAAAATCAATAGTCATTCCTCTCGTGCACAACATGCAGCTAGGCTTGCACCAATATATACCAACCTTTGGGTTCTCCACCACCATTAGGGCTCAGGTTTGTCCAGAAAATGGTATGATTGATATGGCCTCCACCATTGAATTTCAGGGCGGGCTGAAGAGCTATCTGAGCTGTAACATCACCTGAAATGTTAAAATGCAAACATGTTTTTTTAAATTCTTACTTTTTCAACCATTTTATACACTATTTTTTTTCTTTGTAAAATGTTAGATAATTGGACCGGCTTATCTGTAATTGGACCAGCTTATCTGTAACATCCCATTGGTCCTAAAATTCCACAATTTCAGGATTCTATTAAAAAAAGACCTTCTCAAAACTAATTGTCCCAGTGGATTTTCAGTTCAATTAACAATGTGCTCAACAACTAGTGAGAGGCCCAGCTGGGTGGCAATGCTGGTAGAAAATTCACTCCTGAGCGTCAAAGAACTCCGAGTTTTCTTGCATAGAAAAGATTTAAAAAATGAAATAAGGAAGAGAACAAAGGAAATAACAGAATGCTAAAATGTACAGTTCCATATACAGACTAAATGGAAAATTTTCAACTCCCATTCTCTAGATAGACAACTACTCATTGGGAAATATTTCAATGTTACATTAACAAGAAACTCAATATATTCAGAATTGAACTCCTGATGTTCACCCCCAACTTACTCCTCCTATAGCCTTCCCCATCTCAGTAACCGCCAGCTCTTTTCTCAGGACATTTTTGATAAGTTGGTCATTTTTGACTCCCTTCCTCTCACACCCCACATCCAACCCACCAGCATATCCACCAGCAAAGCCAGCTCGACCTTGAAAACACATCCCCTCTTCCTCCCTCTGGTGCAGCAGCATCGCGCCAGTCTCTCACTGGTCTCCTGCTTCCACACCTGCCCCCCCCAGTCTATTCTCAATACAGTGGCCAGACGGCTCCTCTAGACCCCAAACTGATCATGGCCCTCCTCTAGTCAAGCCCCTCCAGAGGCTGCTCTTCTCACTCAGAGTGAACCCCAAGTCCTTACAATGGGCTGCAGAGATGCACATCATCTGACCCTCTGCACCCCCTCACTGGCCCAGCTCCAGCCATGGTGGCCTCCCTGCACTTACATGAGAAGCTCAGCATGCTCCCAGCTTAGGGCCCCCACTACTACTGTGGCCTGTGCTGGAACATTCTTCCCGGATTTGGCCTCATGGTTCATTCCCTCATTTCTCCTTCAAGTCTCTACTGAAATGTCAACCTCATCAGTGAAGCCTCCTCTAACCACAATATAAAATGGGCAATTTCCCCCCATCCCTTCCAGACCACTTCCCCTACTTTGTTATTCTTGATAGGACTTACAACCCCTGGCATACTACATTTTTACTTGTTCATCTGTCTCCCACTACAGTGAAACCTCCAGGGAGGACAAGGACTTTTGTGCACTCCTGTGTCCCCAGGGCCCAATACATTGCCCCATACGTAGGAGGCATTCAATGAATGTCTGTTGATTGACTAGATAATTGAATATATTGAATGTAGTTTTTACACACAAAAAATTAATTCCCTGGTATCTATACTCAACAACAAAAAAAAATGCTATGTTTGAAAAATTTTTTTCTACCTTACTAAACAAGCAAGGAAAGCAAAATATTTTTTTCTATGCCTTCAAGAAGCTACAAATTAACTGAACTATTAGGAAAAATGGGAATTCCCTCATTCAATAAATATTGAGTGCTTATTATTGACAAGATACAAGAGGCAAAGTAAAGAACAGCAAGAACCACTGAGAGGTCTGCTTTTACGGAGCTTACAGGATAGAAAAAGTTCTCTACTTCTGTTCTTAGGGCCTACGCTGAGAACACACGGAAGAAATGTTGCTTTCTGAAGCAACCAGGCCAAACCTCTAGCTGTCCAGCAATTCAGAAAGGAGAAGATCTAGTGATACCTGAATACACAGATAATCTTTGAGGGTTTTTTCTGATGCCAACTTTGTTATGTTTACAAAATAATTTCGTTACAGATCAGTGTCTCCCTTATTAATTTTTCCTGGAGAGTCACCCTAAAAATAAACATAGGTTTTATACTGCTTTCTAATAAATCAACAGCAACTAAATTTTTCTGATGGGAAAGAAACATGCTTACTGAGAAATAGTTTAATAACCTCTTAAAGTTTACTTAATAATTTTTAAATTTTAATAGACATTTCGGGGGCTTAATATCTGCTTTGAAGACACTTTTCTGAAGTTCAACATTTTATTTGGTTTCATTTCAGTTTTTTTCCTCTGTTAAATACAACGAAAGTTAAACACTTTTGTTTGAAAAGTATTTATGTTACTTACCAGTGATGAGACTGATGTTATTTTACTTATATACCTCTTTTCTCCCAAATTCTCAAACATGAAACTTTAACTCTTTAATAATTTTTAAATATAATTTTTTAAATAAAAGAAAGCTCTGCAGGTGCTTATTAATTTACAGGCAATTTAGTACAATATCACGTAAAGCTTTTTTTTTCAGTGGTTTTCATTAAACAAGCAAAGATTCGATTGTGCAAGAGGACTCAAGTTAAGCTGTCTTTAAAATATTGACAACAACAATTCATGGGTGTCAGACGCTGTCATGTAGGAAACACTTTCACAACCGGCATATTCCCTAGCCTCTCATTACCACATCCTTCTCGGATTTATTTCCTAAATCATCAAAACTTTTCCCGTACTCAAGGTTCCTCTGATTGCACAAGCAAATCTTCCAGAATGTCGTAACTTCCACTTCCTTTGTTGAGCCAATTACCTTATACACAATCAGGCTGAAATTCTACATTTTTCCACTAGATGCCCCCAGTCAACAAGATGTCACTGTCTTAATATCTATGCAACAAATTTCATAGGACTGCAACTCAATAAAAATATTTTTTTAAGAAATACATTTTTTTAAACTGTGTAGCTTACAAAGCAATACATGTAGTCTGGAAACACGACTGTTAATTAATTTTCCTAGTGCAAACCACTGATTAACTAATAGTTGAAAAGTGTAATACTATTTTGTATAGAGACATTAAAACATGGTACTCCCATACACACCCCCAGACACAAAACACAAAAAATCCACAGTTACTGGTTTTGTCAACTGAGCCCTTTAAAAAAAGAAACAAACAGTATCTCCGCATTGTATTATACTGACTTCTAAATAAAAGTAAATAAATAGAAGCCGGTAAGTCAACAAGAACACGTGAAATGGTTCTACTGACTAGAGACGTATTTCCTTAAGGAGACACGCCCCCTGTCATGTTTCCCCGTTAGCCAGTTTCTCAAAGCCCGGCAGCCAGGCACCTACCCTTGGCCAGCGCCTCCTGATACTTCTCCTCGGTGACATTCAGGTTGTTCACATAGGCCGCGTGGTGCTTGCTATGGTGCAGCTGCATGATTTGGGCGTTGATGTAGGGCTCCAGGGCGCCATAATCATACTGCAAGTCGGGGAGGGTGTGCTTCTGCCGGGAAGCCAGAGACCCCAGAGCTGGCACCAGCTTCCTGCTCGTGCTGGAAAGAGAGCATGCACAGACCGAGCCGCTCACGCGGGCCGTTCCCTTGACCGCGCGCACCTGTTTACGCACACTAGGCTGCGGAAGAACCCGCTCAGCCGGACATTTCTGTAGCGTTGGCTCTTCCACGTTCTTTGAAGCACTAAATTAACGCTGCCCTTCTGCGCCCCAGGCGCACCTGGACGCGCTCGGCGGACAGCCGCCCTCAGGCCGGGCTGTCCGGGGCGTTCCCCGCCCGGGAGCCGCTGAGCGGGGACGGAGTGCGGAGACGGTGGAGGCCCCGGCCCGCCCGCTGCCCAAGCCCCTTCGCCCCTGGGGCCGTGACGGCGTCCCCGCCGCTCCGCCGGCCCGGCGCCTCACCTGCACGCCGCCCGGCACAACATGGTGAGCGTCACCGACCACGAACCGCTCCAAGAACGAGCCGCCGCGCCGCGCAGACCGCCCGGAGTAGACGCGCGTCCCGGCCGCTCTTCAAGGGCACCACCGGCCCCGCGGGCTCCGCCCCCTGCGGCCGCCGCTCCCAACTCGGGGGCGCGGGGTCCCGGCGTCAGCCCTTCCCGTCGCCCGGCCTATGCCCTGGGCCCCGGGGACGCGAGAAGAGGGGATCTAAGGACCTTCCCCAGCAGGCTACGGGACCCGTGACACCACCTGCCGTGCATCCAGGCGTGTGGCCAAAGGGGAGGCCGCGCTCCCCCACCCCGGTGAGATGGTACGGTCCGCAGCCCCGCCCCGCGGCAGCGCTGCCCTGCGGGGCCCGGGGGAGGGTCCTGCCCGGCGGGGGCGGGGCTGGGTCGGCGCCCCGGGGGCCCCCGCCCCACCCCTTGGGGCCGTGTTTGGGCAGCCGCGTGGGCCAGCGACCTCTCCAGGGGAAAGGCACTTGTTTCCCTGAGCGGTCTGGGCGCGCCCTGGCGGACCGCTGAGGTCCTTCGGGAAGGCGGGTTATGAGTGCTGGTGAGGTGTAGGGCCAGTGCCCCTCCGACCACTGCCGGGAGTGACCTTTCTTTCTCAGTGAACTGACCTTGGGACTTCTGGTAAGCCAAAGCCAGGCCAAGGGTAGCCTGATAATAGTATTACTGAACCCCTACCATGTGCCAGGGACTGCACTGCAGGGTTTACATACATTTATCTTTATTTCACGGCTAGGGCCCGTATCGTTGACTCCAGGCGACAGTTAATGAGCTCATTGAGGCTAAACAGTTTGCCCTGGTCACACAGTTAATAAGTAAAAGAGTCAGGATTAGAACCCAAAGTTCATACTTTCTTTCTTTCTTTTTTTTTCCCAATTATTTTATTGAGGTCATCATATTGGCTTATAACATTGTGTAAATTTCAGGTGTACCGTATTATATTTCAGCTTCTGTATAGCCTGCATTGTGTTCACCACCAACAGTCTAGTTTTTGTCTGTCACCATACATATGTGCCCCTTTACCCTGTTCGTTCTCCCCCTAGCCCCTTCCCCTCTGGTAACCACCAATCTGTTCTCCTTATCTATGTGTTCATTTATCTTCCACATATGAGCAAAATCATAGGGTATTTGTCTTTCTCTGAGTTATTTCATTTAGCATAATGCCCTCAAGGTCCATCCATGTTGTCACAAATGGCAGAATTTTGTCTTTTTTGTGGCTGAGTAGTATTCCATTGTGTATACATACCACATCTTCTTTATCCATTCATCCATTGATGAGCACTTGGGTTGCTTCCGCATCTTGGCTGTTGTGAATAATGCTGCAATGAACATAGGGGTGTATAAATCGCTTTGAATTAGTGACTCTTTGGATAAATACCCAGTAGTGGAATAGCTGGATCATATGGTATATCTATTTTTAATTTTTTATTCAGTTTTTATTTTGGTTTCGTTTTTTTTTTCTTTTTTCTTTCTATTTTTAATTTTTCGGGAAATCTCCATCCTGTTTTCCACAGTGACTGCACCAGTTTGCACTCCCACCACAGCAGTATACGAGGGTTCCCTTTTCTCCACATCCTCTCCAACACTTGTTATTTCGTTATCTTGTTAATTATAGCCATTCTGACAGGTGTGAGGTGATATCTCATTGTTGTTTTGATTTGCATTTCCCTAATAATTAGTAGTATTGAACATCTTTTCATGTGCCTGTTGGCCATCTGTATATCTTCTTTGGAAAAATGTCTGTTCATATACTACATCAGACTAAAAAAAGCTTCTGCATGGCAAAGGAAACCATCAACAAAATGAAAAGCGAACCCCTAACTGGGAGAAAATATTTGCAAATCATATATCTGACAAGGATCAGATACATAAGAACTCATATAACTCAACAAAAAAAAATGAACAACCCAATCAAAAAATGAGCAAAGGTAGGTCCGGCCCAGTGGCGCAAGTGGTTAAGTGCACGCGCTCCGCTGCAGCGGCCCAGGGTTCGCCAGTTAGGATCCTGGGTGCGCACCGATGCACTGCTTGGCAAGCCATGCTGTGGCGGCATCCCATAAAAAGTGGAGGAAGATGGGCACGGATGTTAGCCCAGGGCCAGTCTTCCTCAGCAAAAAAGAGGAGGATTAGCAGATGTTAACACAGGGCTGATCTTCCTCACCAAAAAAAAATGGGCAAAGGAAATGAACAGACACTTTTCCATACTTTTTTGATTACTAAGCCCTACCAGGCAAGTCTTGGGTGTGTGTTTGGGGTAACTTGCATGAACCAACCACTCAGCAGAATATAAAAAGTGCAACAGAAGATTCTTTCCTACAGTGTCTTATGGTCTAATAAGCTGTAAGTATCAAATGCTTTCTCAACAATTAAAAAAAATAATCTTGAATTGTGTAAATCCTCCCTATATAGAAGTTAGGAGAGCTTTACACTGTTATTGGCCTGAGTTGATCCCTTTTTGAGTAGAATAACATAAAAGGAAGCAGTAGATGCTGAATAAAGACTTTCAGAGCTTCGGTGACTTTTTTCCACCCCCTTCACAACTCCCCACCCCACCCCCAAGGATGACTAGGCTTTGGGTTGGGAGAATAACAAACCCAAAGGGGAAACACCCAGCATGGTTTCACATAAGAGGGCTGGGGCTTCCTGGAAGTTAGGAGAATGTAGCCAAGGGTACATGACCAGGGAGAGGAGGAAATTCAGGTTGGGAGCTGGTCATGGATGCCCTTAAAACTCAAACATGTGGTTGGTGACAGGAAGTTGAGAAGCATTTTACCTGAAATGAGGCACATTGAAGGCAGTTTTAAGGCAAGGCAGTCTGGCACTGATATCAAGAGGGGCGGGCTGGTGAGAAAGCTGTTGCATGAATCCCAACAAGAGGTACTAAGAGCCAGTTTTGGGTACCAGCGATGGGAACTGGAAGAATAGGGCATTTTGAAGGATGAAACAACAGAATTCAGTGACAGATCCGTCACTCATAAAAGGGCTTGTTCTAGGGAGAACAAAATATCACTGTTAGGAGACTGAGCCCCGTCAGGCTGCATTGATGTACTTTTTGTTTGTACAGGTGGTGAGACTTTGAGACTTAAATTGACCCCCAGGACATGTCCTTTTGAACAAGCAACAAAGATTGGGGAGTGGGGCAGTGACAATAACAGTCAAGTAGAAGTGTCTCTAACGTCCTGTCTATCATCAGCTACATCCTTCCAGAAGGCAACCCCGACTGTGAGAGGATCCAGGATTGAGACCAAGGATTTGGGGGGGATGGGAAGTAACGAGAAGTTTCTTACCTTCTTTCTCTACCACATCCAATAAACAGGCCACTTTTTCTTTTTCGGGTGGCCACTGTAAGAATACTCATTCAGTTGGCCCAAGAAGTTAGATTCTACTTTACTGGGGTCTGGTCTACATTCCGCCAGCCAGCTCAGGATGTCATCAGCCACATCAGGGCACCGTGATTGTGAATTTCCCTTGAATAAACTTCCCAAGGCTACTTCACAGCCATCCTCAGACCCACCAGTCTAGACCAACATATTGGCTGGAGGAGGCAAAATGTGCGTTGAGATGAAATCATTTTGAGCCAGTTGTTAATTAATTGCATTCATATTCTAGTAACAGAGATCCAGCCATAGTGTCTTAAAAACAGAAGAGTGTATTCTCCCACGTAAAAGAGATCTGGAGTAGGTAGTCCAGGGCCAGGATTACAGTGCCACAAAGTCATCAAGGACCCAGGCTCCTCTATCCTCAGAGTTGCCTCATGATCCATGATAGCTTCTAGAGCACCAGCCATCTCATCTCCTTTCCATGAAGGGGGAAGGACAAAAGATTGAGCCCCAGCTGTCTCCCTTTGAAGGATTCTTTGTGGTAGATTCACCCAACAAATTCCACAAAGAATTTAGGTGCAAGGCTACACGTAGCTACAGAAGAGACTAGGAAATGTAGTCATTTAGCTGTGCACATTTCCAGTCTGAAAAAAACATGGAATACTGTAACTAAAGGGGAAATGAGTAGTGGATTAGAAAGTTAGAAAATAGCAGACAACTGATCCTTCTGTGAGGCATTATTTCTACATGCTTGGACATAAACTCTGTTAACGGAATGACCTACATTCTCTTTTTTCTTTTTACTTTTTTTTTCCCACCCTGTGTATCACAAATCTTACCCTGGCAGAAATCAAAGTGAGAATTGCAAGTGAGTGTGCCAACTTTCCTTTGCATAATTGGGATTGTTAATAGGACCAAGAGTAGTACTTAAATTGCTAAAATGAAATCAAGGCTCCAGGGCCGGCCCTGTGGCTTGGTGGTTAAGTGCGCGCGTTCCAATGCCGGTGGCCCGGGGTTCGGATCCCGGCGCGCAGCGAGTGAACCACTTCTCCGTCCATCCTGAGGCCGAGTCCCACATACAGCAACTAGAAGGATGTACAGCTATGACATACAACTATCTACTGGGGCTTTGGGGGGAAAAAAATAAAATAAATAAATAAAATCTTAAAAAAAAAAAAAAAGAAATCAAGGATCCAGGTTAAAAGAGAAAGGGATGATAGATATAGCATCATTAACAAAAGTTTCAAGGTGAGCTTTTTGCCCCCCAGTGTTAGGTAAATTATAATTTGATTGCATCCTCAAAGAACACATTGACTACTGGAAAGGAAAGGGGGATTTTGGCTCAGAACAAAAGTATTTTATTGAACAAGATGTGTAATGGGTTGATTGTATCCATAAAGGGAGAAGGGAACCAACATTATTGAGCAGATCCTCAGCGTGTGCTAGGTACTAGTTCAGATGTGCTACATCATCTCTTAATTCACACAACATCTCTGTGAAGTGGCTTATTATTCCTCTTTTGCACAGACAGTAAGTGACTTGACCAAGGTCACACACAGAGCTGGTAGGTAGTGGAGCTGGCCTTTGAATGTATTGCTCTCTCTTAATCCTGATGGATTTCTGTGCCTTTAGCGGCTGCCACACCCTCTCCCACATTCTTTGCACCTAATAAAATTGAGCTCCACCCTATCTTCTTTGTGTGTAGCCCAACTTTTG